GGACGGGACGGGGGGGCTCGCGGCTCCTCGGTCACAAACCAGATTAGGAAGAGCTACAGGAAAGGAAAAGCTTAAAGAGCGTCCCAGTTACTTCTGTGTTGTATAAATTACATTTGGTCTGTAACTCGCGTTAGTCTCCTGTGTATGATATCATAACCACTGCTCTGTCCCGGTTCCGTCCTTGGTTGTTTTTTTTTTTTAGACTTTTTGTACAATAAAAAAATTTATATAGCCAAAAAGAAAAAAAAAAAAAGGGAAAACTGCTGACAAATGCATTTTGCTTGGGTTACTGCACCCCACTCGCTGCCTTCCTGCCCCTCGCCCGGACCCAGCCCCTCGCTGGCACTGGATCCCAGGGTTGGCACCAGATCCCAGGGTCAGTGCCAGATTCCAGGGTTGGCCACACAGCATCCCCACCGGAGTGGAGATGGAGGAGGCCAGGTGGGGGCTTTGAGGGGCACAAGCAGCCCCGCTGTTCCTCAGGGGTCTTCACCCCACGTGCCAATCCCGGGACGGGCCCTCGGCTTCTCCATCCGCTCGCCCAGCTTCGCATGCCAGGTCCCTGCGTCACGGCAGCCCCCTGCACCCAATCCTGCCGTCCCCTTCCCATCTCTTCCCTTGGGAGCTCCTGGCCTGATCCGGCGACCCTGGCTCTGACCGGCTTGGGAAATGTTTCTTAATGCTTCTCATTTTTCCCACGCTCCCGATGCTGGCTGCGCACGACGGACAAGCGGATGAGAGGGGACGAAATCCGCCCTGATGCCCCGTGCCTGGCTTGGAGCCACTTGTGGCCAAGGACATTCCCGGGTTTATCTCCCAGCTGGGGCCAAACCACAGCCCCCCCCCGCTCTGAACATGCTTGCCCTTGCGCTTTGGCAGCCAACACCAAACCAACACCTTGAGAAACAGCCCAGGAGAACACAACCGCCCCCAAATTTGCTCAAACCCGTTGGGGAAGAATGTCCCCATCCCGGCAGCAGATGCGGAGGTGGCCTGTGCCCACCAGCGGGGGTGGGTTTGCCATATTCTACCCCCCCCCCCCAAGAGCCACAGCAAGGCTGAGCAAACCTGGGTGGGTTGACCCCAAGGATGGGATGGAGGACACCGGACAGGGATGGTGACACCCAGCACAGTGCTGGAGATACCCTGCATGGGACCACCATCTCCGGGCAATGGCGAGCCGCATCCCCCCCTCCCGGGGGGGGAGCCCCCCCTGCCCTCCCCCCGGCCCCCGCTTCCTCCCAGCGCAGCTCCCCGTTGTAAAGCTGAGATTTACAAGTGGCCCCAAGTGCCGGAGGAGCCGAGCTCAGGGGCAGCCTTTATGGAGCCTCATTAGGGGCTGCAGGTATGCCGAGAATGTCGCAGCTAATTACAGCTGTGGCCGGCGGGAGGGGACAGGGTGGGCAGCGGAGGGTGACTGCCCCCGGGGCTGGGGGAGCAGGGGGATGTTCTGGCACAGGCGAGGACCGGACAGGAGGGACAGAAGGATACACGGCTCCGGCACCGATTCTGGACCTGCTGGGGTCAGCTGGGTCCCAGGCCCTGCCGCCAGCGGCTCCGTGGACAATGGCCATTTTCCTGCTCCGGCCGAGGTCCTCCAGGAGATGCCGGGAAGCTGCTGCTCCTTCCGGCAGCACCCCAGCCCCCTCCACACCCCATCCCTGCCCTGCACCCCTCGCTCCTGCTGCGAGTCCCATCCGAGACCCCAGTCCCACCTTGGCCAAGAGCTTGCCGTGGGGCCATGGGCAGCTCCGGGCCGGGCTGAGGTCTTGGCTGTGGTTGAGGACAAGACGCCAAGTCCCTCCAACGCCAGAGCTGTTCCAGGGGGAGCTGCCTGCTCTGCCCCCTCCAGACTCGGCTTCCCCACGGATAAACCTCCGGGGGGTCTTCAGGACCCACAGGACGGCACCGAACCAGCAACCACGGGGCAGCGTGAACCACAACACGACGCACCGAGGGCAAGGACACCCCATACCCCAACACAGCCCCGATTTCCCCGGCCCCAGGAGACAACGGCCAGCTCTGATGGGGAGGCTCGGCCATGGCATCCCCATTGCGACCAAGCCTCCGCTCTGCCCGCCGTCCCTCGGGGGCCATGGCCTCGGGGTCTGCCCTGGGCGGGGGGCCAGGCTGTGCCACCCACCCAGAGGGCTGCCAGAGGAACCGAGAGGTCCCGGGTGGGGGGGTTTGTTTGTTTGCTTCCGAGGACGATGTCAAGAGTTTAACGAACGCTTGCTTTTGTTCTGGTCACGTCTCCCCCGAGGCCACGGGGGCTGCACCCCACATCCCTGCTCCCCCCCCCCCCCCCCCCGCCATCCATCGGGTGACCTAATTCAGAGACCCAGGGGCAGGGCTGGGGGGGGGACAAATTAGGACAGGGACATCCGGACGACCACCCACAGCTGCACCACGACATACTATGGCTCCCCGAACCTTCCCCTCTGCCGCCTAACAAGACCGTCCGCATGCAACATTCACAGTAATTAAACCATCAACGGGGAGCTTGGCGGAGCTCCACCGGCCTCGCCGTGGCCCCGGGGGGAGACGCCAGAACCAGGGCGATTATCCGGGAGAGCTGGGCATGGTCCAGCCCCCCCACCGCCGGCGACAGGGCGGGATGCCGCGCTGCCGCAGAGACAGCGGGCAGGCAGCAGCATGGGTCCATGCCCGGCTCTGGGGACAAGGGTGGCTTGGCTCCCCCCTCCGTCAACGCCGCCGCTTGACTTCCAACCTGTAGTAGCAATGGGATTTTGATGCGATCCCAAAGATCCCCAAACCAGCCCAGGCTCAGGGCAGCATGTTGCTTGCAAGTAGGACCTGAGGCATCCCAATTCCCTGTGCCCCAGTGAGCACGGCCCTTACAGAGCCATCTCCTCCCTGGCTGCAGGGGTGCCTGGGCTGGAAAGGATTCAAGGGGATGGAGGCAGTGACCAGCCATCGCTCCTTTCCCAGCCAGCCTCCCACCACTGGAGAAAGGCCCTGTGGGATGGGAGCAACCAGCTGAGGAAGGTCAACACGCGGGCTCCTCCGGGAGAAGATGCACAAGACCGGGCAGTCGTGCAGTCGAGAGAGAAGAAGGTCTTCGCAGCAGTGGACCATGGCTACCTCCTGCGATGGAAACCCCCGCTTCAGCCCCATGGAGCCCTGCAGCGGGACCCAGCCCTGCCTCCACCACAACGGATTCAGGACATGCCAGATCCTGCAGTGCGGTCCTGGCTCCCAGCTGCGGGAACGGCGGCACTGAGCCAGGAGGGACACTGGCCACGCTCATGGGCTCCGGCACAAGTGCAGGTGGAGGGTGGCAGTGGGGGCTCGGTGCCGTCCCTCCTTGGGCTCGTCCACACTTCCAGGGTCCACTCTTTTGTCTCCCGATTTTTGTGAATTTGAACAAAAGGCTTTTCCAAGCCCCCCACAGAGGATCTGGGGGCAAGAGGCTGTTGGGAGACGAGGACAGCGCAACTGGAAGGGACATGTTGGCACCGGAGTGCGCATCCCCCCCACTGCACACCTCGCTCCTCACCCCATTGTGCAAACCCCCCCTTTCTCCCTCTTGTCCCCCCCTCCCCGGCCTGACCTATCATGCCACTCGCATTTACAGCCCAAGCGTCTGCTGTGAAAAGTGACTTCATGCTGAATTTGGGCACCGCTCGGCGTTACCAGCTCTCACGCTGCAAGCTCCGGCCCTCCTTTTCTTTCGCTCGCTTTCCCACACTTTCCCCCGCTCATTGTGTGCCCGCTGCTTTTTTTCTTCCCCTATTCAGCCCAAATTAGTCACGAGCAGCCCCCAGCTTAGAGAGGAAAAATAAATTAGGTGGTGTTTTAAACACAGTGTGATTGGAATGATTCTCCCCTACACCCAGGAGGGGAAAGCCCGGCGGGTGAAAGATGCAGCGTCCTCTACAAAACAGCCCCCGGCACCTCCCCGGGGACGGGGGGGGACAGAGAGCGACGGGCTGGGGACACCGGCACATCCGCACAGAGCTCCCAATTTTGGTACCATGGCCAAGGGAAACTCATCCCCAACAAGGGGAGGAGACGGCGCGAGGGAAGAGGAGAAGACAAGATGCACATGTCACTTCACCGGCCCCAGGAGATCAGCCAGGACAGAAACACCACCAGGACCCCCCTGAGCAGAGGGGAGCGACCCAGGGAGGAGGACACGTGGCCAGGCAGGGCAGAAATGGGGCTGGGACCCCCACACTGCTCTGGTCCCCGGACCAGAAAGTGGAGCTGGTGGCAAAATCCGGAGTCCTCATTGCTGCCCTTGGCTCAGGGGGAAGGTGATAGCATCCCACCATCGGAGCCCAAGTCCCACGTGCCATCATCAACACTGCTGGAAGACAGGAGACAGCTCAGCCTACGGCAGCTTCTCGCCCTCCAAGCTCAGGATCCAGCCACCACCGACCTGCAGGCCCTGGAGAGCTCCTGGACCAGCAGCATCTCATGACACGGCAGTCCCCGGCATGTCCGGTCAGCTGGAACCCCGAAGCTCCAACACAGAGGGACCTGAAGCAAGCAGACACAGCAAAGCCAAGAGCTATCTGTGCTTCCCCTCAAGTTCTACAACGATCCTTGGTCTACAGCACCGAACCATTGGCTGTGAGAAGCGGTGACCACCCTGTATCTTGTACGTAGTCCCGATTTGGGTTACGGCTGGGTCCCAGCTCTGAAGAGCCTGCGCGGTTCCCCAGGGAAGCAAGGAGATTGGCATCCGAATGAAGCAGCAAGGTCAATCTGGAGAGGCGAGGCGGGGTTAGGACTTTGTCCAGGCCACAAGAAGTTAATGTTAGGACAATCTCTAACCGCTGGCGACGGCCTGGCCAGGCAGGGTCTCTGCCCCCCAGCCAGCCCCGTGCAGGCAGGAGCAGCCGTGGCCAAGTCTCCATCTGCTCCAGCTCCCTCCCGGCAGCACACTCCGGCCCCGAGCCTCAGCCGTGCCATGCATCAAACTGACAGATACCAGCATTGCCTTGGAGAAGCAGTTTTATTATGAAACCGAGAATGAAATGCAGTGTTTGCCCTGGCACACTACAAAACATTTCAAGCAAATAACCAGCAAAAAGATTGTGAGCCAAATAGAAAATACATCTTACAAAATCTGACATACAAAAAAAAAAAATCAGAATAACGTTATTACATTAAATCAGGAAGGATCAAGGGAGCTTCAATTCACTCAGCCACTGACAACCCAAGACACACAACGTAACCCGGACCCCGTGGCTTTTAGCTGCCCTTTGGGAAAGTAAACAAACATCCAGGGTATTGCTTAGAGTCAACGAGGGCACATGGATGCAGTCAGACTGCAAACATTAATGGAACAGAAGCAGTTTGAAGACTTCTACGTTAAAAAATATATATATTGCTTATCAAGAATCAGGTATAAGCCTCTGAAAAGCTCGATTTGTACACACACCCGTTGTTCTCTAGCATCTTAAAGAACCAAGCATGGACAAGGCAAACATCTCTCCGGTAAGAAGTTACAGTCAGAAATAAGAATCCTAGGATGTCAGTCTTCAGACAAGAGAAGGATTTCAGCCACAATGCCCACCTAAAAATCCAAGCAGACAAACAGATTTCTGCTTACAGACAGATTTCTGCTTGCGCCTGGGGCCGAGGTATCCGTGGAGGGAAAGCTCTGCACAGGGTGGGAGATGCAGCAGGAACGAATGTTTGCGAGTGAAACTAATTCTCTAGGCAGGCAAAGGAGGAAAGGGCACCAGGCAGCTCCTCTCTGCCCCAGCGCTGCCAGTCCAACACCCCTGGCTTCGGGGTCCTACGCTTCTCCACTGCCACCACTTCTTCCACCCGCGCAAGCCACCCCGGGGAGTGGCTCTTTACAGCCCCCCAAGAACAAAGGTGCCATATGAAACACTAAAGCAGCAAGAAGCGCTTCACAAGCTGCGGCAGCGCTGCCTTTGGTGCGACTCAGCCAGATTTTTTCCGTAATTTCACTGAAACGGTTATGGATAATGCAGCAGAAGGAACCGTGTTCCTGCACAGCTACCAAGAACTTCCACACTCAAAACACAGGTCCCAGGATAACGCCGGTGCTCTCCTGCACTGCCTGGCAGCTCGGAGAAGACTGAGGCTTCTTCAGCAAGTCTGCGAGTTAAACCAGCTTGGCAGCTACTCTGAGGCAAAGAAAGGACAAGATAAAATCCAGCCTGAGAACAGACATCGGGCAAAACAATTCTGCTGGTTTGTCATTTAAGGAGAGAAATGTATCACTGACCTTCGAGGAACCTGGAAAATGTAGGTGAAACGCCATGAGACACAGAGGGCTTAGCAAGGCAGGATAAATGAAGCGGTGAGAACAGGCTCCATTTGCAAATGCATGGCTACATTTTCCTCCTCGTTTGAGGACACCAGTCTTGATCTAGGGTTAATCGGCAATTCTTGCTCTGACAATTCCCATTAGCCTCACCCTGGGAAGGAAGGCAGTCGTGAAACTGCCCCGCGTGTCAGCTATCACAGACGCCACTTCCATTTTTGAAAACATGAGACAATATAATTGAGAAAATCCTTCCCTGATGTTCAACCTGTCAGATCCTGGACGAGCCAGGGGTAAGATGCCAGAGATCCAGAGCAGGACTCACGCAATGCATCGTGCTCTCGAGACGAGGCGCGTTCTTATCCCAGCTGCTAGGAAGAGACCATGATACAGCTGAACCGTGGGGCCTGTTTTCACGGGGTGGAGGAGGAAAGGACCAGTGCAGTCTGAGAGGTGGAGACGGCATTCAATGGCAAACAGACAACAACCGGTCCTTGCATTAGCAGCATACTAGGAGTCCTTAAGCTAGAAAAGCAACTGCCGAGGGCAGAGCAAACCCTGCTCTACCTCCATTCCTCAGTGTTTTCCCTTCCTCATTGCACGGCAGACACCACGCTCCTACTGTTGCTCTATCTGCCTGTCTGTTTACCGGGCAGACTGTGGCTCTCCCCTGCACAGGTGTTTCCCAGCAGCACTAGGAGGGCACTGGGACACTCTCCATCTCTCCCTGCCGGATGATACCTCCGGTGCGAGCTGCTGCAAATGATCCCACCAGCAGCTGGGAAACCACCGGACCGCAGGACTGTGGGCTAACGGAGATGCACTGACAATAGTTTCTTCTTTTTGCTCAACTTTTCTTCATTTTTAAACGTCGTAACTTGAAAAAATAAGTAGAACAATCATACAACTACGGGGGATTCCCTGTCTACTCATCACTAAAACCTAGAGAAACAGTGTGGGAGTGAGAGAAAGTGGGGGGGAAAGAGAGAGAAAGAGTATGCACGCACTCGAGAGGCACACTGCAAATGGGCTGAAGCTAAAAAGGACCAGCATCAGACGATCCCAAAACGTTCTGCTCTTTTCCTCTTCTTTGCCTGCAAAGAGGAATTACAAGAAAAAAAAATCAAAACCAAAAAGAAACAAATTAACAAGTTCTTTAAAATCTCACACACAACCTGATGGAGAATTTATTAAAAATTTGGTATCAGTAACACCACCAGAGCTCGGCAGCTCTGGCCCCCTCCTGAGTGCACCGCCACCAAGTTAGTTCAAGGGAGCTACGAAGTTTTTCTTCTAACACTGGGACAAAGAGAGCCCCAAAATCAAGTAGCAGAAATATACAGTGCCTGAGATACAGTGCTGCCGAAGTCACTTCGTCTTGCTGGCAATGTGCTACAAAGGGGCTGAGCTGGGAACAATGCCTACTTCAGAGGCCTGGAAACCCTTCCAGGCAGTGGGGAGGTGGGAAATGTAAAAGGGCAAAGGGTTAACACTCTCCTATTCATGGAAAAGGTGAGAGGGACACACTAAAACGCATTAAATATACTATTGCGTCTCTCAGATATGCCTTTAAGCCGATACACGAGGGGCGTATAAATCTTAATTTTTAGCAGGATAAATAGCCTGGGGGCAACAGAAGCCCTAATCAAGAATCTCCAGGGGAAAGGTGCATTTGAGTGCACACAATACCAGTAAAAAGACCTTTTTGTTCCAGGCACAATCTCCAAGTGACCTAACGGAAAAGCATGGAATCCCTCGCCCAACCGCCCCCTCCGTGCGGGCCGGAGGGGCTCATTCTCCCATGCTCGGCAGAAGGCTGGGAACGCCGCTCCCCGCTTCATGCGGGGCAGCGTTTCTGCAGTAAACCCAAAACAAAACACACACAGACAAAAAAAGCCCCTAAACCCCACCTGAATTGTTGAGATTGCTCTTAGGAACCAAACAAAACCCACTTCTCGTCTGTCGAGCCCAGGAGCCATCTGGTTAAGCAGTTTCCAAGACCCAACACTCGCCCTGCCGCAACCTTTGCCATTTGATTGTTAACGCAGGAGTCCCCACCCTGGAGGGGTCCCTTTGTCCCCAAGAGAGGGGTCCCCAACTCTGGCTGATCCACACTGGAGCCATATTTACGTGGCACCATAGGTGCGTATGGCACTCCCCACCTAACTTAATGTAGGAGCTACCGCACCGGAGCACAGCCTGCATGGTGACTTGGAACAATTTGAAGCAGAAGAAAGCATAAAAGTACATAAAAGAGCACAAAATTGCCCTGAGGACCTTACAAATTTAAAAGATGGGCCAAAACCACAGAGGACAGAACAAAGCATAGAGGAGAAAAAGCTGGAAACAGGGTCAGCATCTCAATCCTCATTATATTGTAGAGTCTCCAGGGATTTATTGATGAAGACCTACAATAGCATCCAAGGGGAAGCAGAGGGTCCAGAAGCATCCAGGACACAGGGAGTTACAGAGTACAAGGAGCAGAGAGAGAGTCAGCCAGCTCAAACCAAGGGGAGGGGGAACCAAGGTGGGAGAAACTGGAGTAGAGCAGATGTGCCCCCCACCTCTTCTGGAAGCATCTACGCCATCCTGCAAGAGGAGGAGCTGGATGCCAACACATGCTGGCACGCTCCTGTGGCTTGGTAGACTCCAGAGCGGCCCATTTCCAGGAGGAGCCAGGGGAAAAGCCGCAACAGATCGGATGGCAGAAGCTCATCATTGCTCACTGCCAAGGCAAACAGGCTGAGTGGCCATGGGAGCGCACCCACCCACAGCTCGGGGTCAGTCCCACGCTAGCCCGGGGGACTTGATGCCGAGTGAGGTCCCAGGTGTGCAGAGTCATGCTGCCACCCCTGGGACCATCACTGCTCCCCTCAGCATCCCCGGCTGCTCCCCATCTGCTTAGAAAAAGGTTTTACCTCTGTGTCCTCTGTAGCTCCAGCCCCAGCAGAACTCGTTACAATGCCAAACCGCTCCTTTCTCTTCTTCAGTTTCTCATCTTCTTCACTCTGGCACAAAGAAGGACGAAGATTTATTTTGGTGGCAATGCCCCAGAGCACTCGTTTAATGGTAAATCGTGTTCCTCCTACCCCCACTCCTCCCACAGTCGGTTACCAGAGCACCTGCTAAAAGAGCTGGGACAAGGCAGCAGAGACACCGAGAGCAGAGCAGGCTTCTCCTCTGCCTTGGCAAAGTGCACTGTCTGTAGGGGATGCACTGCACGTGCCAGAGAAGAGCTCCTGCAGAGCACGTCAGATAACAAGGATGGCTCTGGTCCTTCAGCAGTGATCAATGAAGACACACAAAGGCAGCGTCCACCTACCAGCCTGTGTGCCTCAAATAAAACCACAGCCCCCTTCAAGCCTGCCCATCGTTACAGCACCGTATCGTCTTTGCTCTGAATTTCTTCATGCCCAAACGTGAGCATGATGGAGGACGGTGGAAGGAAAGGATAGACGCTCGTCACAGGTACTGCAACAGGGTGCAGGTGGGCACGTGCAAAGGAAAATCCAGCCTCAGCAGCCAGAACCTCACCTTTGTCTGGATGTGGTCTAGGAAGGATTTGGGGGAAGCATTTACAGCTGTCACAGGGACCTTCGTAATGCCCTTGGGAAAGCGAGCGGCAGGAACCTGATGCCCACCCCTGTGGTAGATGCTGTGCTGCTTCTCTCGGAAACATTCCCATTTGGAGATGGAAGCCCAGCACTCACCCTATCTTCCTAAGTCTTATTTCATTTATTTCCAGCCCGCAAGCAAATTTCTACTGATGTTTCCCAGCACCTTCCAATCCCTGTTTCTCAAGGTCCTCCAAAAAACCTGGAGGCTTTTTACCTCCGCTGCCATCACTCACGCTGATGTCCTGATCGCCAGTAATAGCCAAACCCATCATTGCCCATAAAAGCCTCAACACATCCATTTTCTGTAGATTTATTCCCACCTCTGGCTGTTTTGTGCCTTTTTCAGGCCATTTCTACAGTTAAGGCTGCCCAATTACTTTGCTGGGCTCGCACCAGTTCTCTCTCCCCTGTTATTAAGTACATCTCGGAGCTCTCACCCCCATAACCCCATCCACTACATCTTGTTAACCATGGGAGTACGGCTTACAAGCAGACTCTCGCTCGCTGAAGGGTCCCCATCCGTGCCGCCCTGATGCATGGCATCCCACCGCCTTGGGGAACCAGAGGTACCAATGCCATTGCCTGGGGTTTATAGCAAGGGGCAGCAGGCAGGAGAACAGGAGCACCGTTTCCAAGAAAATGCACTTCAAGTCCCAGTGCTCCACCTGGATCAACTGGAATTAGCTGGCCAAGCAGAGGAATCAAGCTGGACACTTATTGGTTTAAGCTCAAGGTCATAAACCACACCATCAGCAGCCAAATTTGACCAAGAGTGGCACTGGGCACCCTGTTAGTAAGCAGCGGGGTAACCTCGCTGTGTCAATACCTTACATAAATGAGGCTGCAGCGACCCGCTCAGCACTATTACTTCTGACACAGACATGTGTTGTGGCAACAGGGCTGGCCAAGGTGTTTGAACTGAAAACTCTGAGGTTCTCACAAGCTCCAGCTCTGTAGGAAGCCGCCAGCAGCCATGTCCCAAACACATTTGATTCCCCCTGTGCGTTACAGCCCCTCACTGCAGGGACTGCTGCTGAACACCACGGCAAGTGCTGGCAGCCCCGCCGAGCCTGCAGCTTAACCTTCCTTCCCAGAAATTCTCTGCGCAAGACTGTTTTGAAGACGGCTCTGTCATGAGGACATAGCCACCCTCACCCACCTGCTCTGTTCTGCTGGTCCTCCTTTCCGTGGTTTGATAGCAAAGCTATGAGCAAAGCTTAAATCACCCTCAGCATTCCCTGCCCTCCCCAGCCTCATGTCACGGAGGTGGATAGAGGAGGACAGAAGGTACGCATCTGTCCTAGGCTCTTGTAGTGGAGCAGCCGAGAGCTCTCTCCCAATCCAGCACCCAATCCAGGTTAGGATGGCTCCAGCTTTCAGGAAGAAGCAACATCCCAGAAAAGCAGTGAAACTTGAGGGTTGTGAACAAAGGACGCTGGGAGGGATTATCATCACGGGGACAGGGAAGGGAAGGAAAAGTTGCTCGCTGGAGCAGCACGACATACATGCAAACCGCGGCCAAAGAAAATCCAACCTGCGCATTAGCAACAACATTAAACAAACAGGCTCTTAAAAACCACCACTGCTGTCTGCGTGGTGTAAATCCCATGAGCAAAAGGATGGCCCCAAAGCCACTTTCAAGCAGAAAAGCGCTGTGTCTTTAATAAAAGGACATGGGAGACTCCCAGGGACTGCACCAAGCTGTAGGTTTTTATTTATTTTTTCGGTAAGCCACCCCCATGCCTCCCGCCCCCACCACTGCCCTGCAGGGAAAGCACATAACCGTCCTACTAAATCAACACGGTCCTAATGATCTCGCTCACTTGACCCCCTAGCACGACAGTGTCAGATGCAAACACGCGTACAATAAACTTCACTCCATCTTTAGCTTCTCGCTGACAGGTTTTGATTCATGGGGTGCTGAAACCCATCTGAGGAAAATTACCTCTATCAAAACGCTGCTATCTCTGCATCTATCAACCCCTGGTAGTGCCCCGGGGCCGTGCTCCAGCGTGCAAATGGGTGCACCAACATCTGCAGGGAAAGCTGACCTTTCTGGCAGGATGTCAGATTTATTTTCTAACCTTACTATTTCTAGGCTTGTTCCCTTTGCACTCATGCCACGATAGTTATTTTGTAGTTTGTCTAAAAAAAAAAAAAAAAAAGGGGGGGGGTGGAGGAAAGAAGAGGAAAAAAAGCTTTTATGAAGGAGTCCAAGCCCTGAAGCTAAAGTCTTTCCTGTGATCTGGTAACAAGGAAGCATTTACACAAGGGTATCGATATATTTGCACTGCGCTGTATGCAATCCCAAAGCTTTAATTTTGACCCCTAAATTTCATCTGTGGGACCACAGGGCACTGGCACAGCTCCCCGTGGGGCTGTTGCCAGTAACAGCATCCCACCACCATGGGAATCTGCCTCGGGATCTGCTTCCTCTCTGCGCGAGATCCGGGCTCCCTCCTCATCTGGAGTGCCCAGTCTAAACCCTACAGACTCCAGGCACCGAGGGACAGACTCTGCACCACCTGAGGCAGAATCAGGCACCTCTGTCCCCACGGCTGATGTCCCCAAGCTGCTGCCTACCCTCTTCCACGCAGGGAACAGGGAAGCAAGGAAAGGGGGCTCACCCCTCCACACCCCAGCATTTCAACAAGCCCCATGCAACATCCGGAGGAACATCGGGCTTCAAGCAATATTTTTTGTTTTCTTGAAGCAAGTGACACAAGTGGGGAGCTCCCCGGTGTGCATGGGAAGAGGTCTCAAAGGGCAAGAGGGGCTGCACAGCTCCAGACTGGAAGAGTGCCTGTCAGCAGCAATTAAATCCAGGTTTAATGGCTTGTCCTCTGGCTCATACCGCTTACTCCCAAAAGAGAGAAGGATCCATTTAAAAACTGGATCATTCCCTCTCTCCTGGGAGAAGGCAGAAGTGCTACTGCTGGTGCTGGAAGAGTTAATGCCAAAAGGCATGAATTCGTGGTTTCCATGGTGCACAGAGCTCTGGCACTCACGGCTGCCCAGCCAACAGAGCAGATCCCAGCTCGGGGCAGGCAGAGCCCAGCCGGTTACCTTTGAACACCCCACAGGAGCTCCCTGCAAGGCAGATCTCAGCCCTTCGTTGGCAGCGAGCTTGCCACTCTCCTCTCCCACCTGAGCTCGGCAAGCTGCAAGCAGCAATTCCTACAGCAGTAGAATAAGCAGCCACAGCAGCAGCGCTCTGGTGTGATGTTCTGGTTAACTTACCCACAGGACTCAAACTTTCATGGAGGGGAAAACCCCGCCACTGGCCTTGCTCTTAAAGGGCGGACAAAAATTGATCCCAGATCACCTAGAAGCATCTTAGTGCCTTTAGTGTTCAGGCCAAGAAGCAGGAGGGCCACCCTCGGCCCCCAGCGCCTACAACCTTGTAATAAATGACTCGTCATGAGCATCTCTGATCCCTGCACTGAGCAAGCTGCTGCAAAGGACAAGGCCAGCAAGGCCCCACCATCCATTCACACATCCCGCTCTGGGCTCACAGCACCCAGGTCTCAGACATGTAGATTAAACAGCAGTTGCTCCACATGTGTGCTATGAAATGAGACTTCAGGAGTAATGTCAGGCTCATCCCAAGGAGCTGGGTAGGGAGAAGGATGAAGAATCGACCTGGCTTTCCAGGCGACCCTGGCACAGGTTCAGACCAGGGAAAAGGGACCAACGCACGGGAGATACTCCACATGTTCAGCTGTCATCTGCAGCTACGCTGTTGTCAGATCACAGCTCACTGCCCCAGTTTGGCCAGGCTCATTGCGCAGTAACAGCCACGTAAAAGGTAAGGCAACAGCCTTCTTCAAAGGGGCAGCTCCCCGATGTGCAGGGAAATGACTTGCTCAGTGCACCCACTCTGTATTTCAAAAGCCCGCGTTGCTGTGAAATCTCTGCCCCCGAGGCCAAGTTTCATGCTGCATGGGCAGAGTGCTTCTTTCTCTGCCGATTAAAGCATCCCCAGGAGGAAACTGCTCTGGATTGGCAGATGAAGCCTGGAGTATCCTCATCACAAATGCAGAGAGACAGACACAAGCCTCCATAATCGCATCCTCAGTGTTTTCATTCTTGGAGAATGGAAGGGTGTGTGCCCACATGGGTGTATAAAAACGGACCCTTCTGGTCACTCTCCTGTATCTCACTGCAGCATGACGGATGGCAGGATGAAAAGCAGAGCCCCGAGGCTTTCAGGCGATGGTAGATTAATGATGACATGGCCTTGACCTCCAAAAGGTAAAGGTTATGAAACACTCAAGGGTAACTGGGCTTCCAATTTCATACCCAGAGGGTGAATGACAGCAACCGATGGTTTTATTCTCAGAAACACTCCAATCCTAGGACGCACAGCTGTCGCCCACCACCTTTTTGAA